TGTATCACTACACAAAGGCATATCCCCCTTATCCCCAGCAGAACCAACACATGTCTCAGTGTCACACATTCCTTTGTTGCAAGGTCCACCCTAAGGCAAACCTGCAGAGTCTTATGAGGAAACCTGTAGGTGTTTATGAGGCAGCAAACGCCAAGCAGAGAGGAGGAAGCGCTCAGCAGGAATGCCATCATAGATAATCCTCACAGATAGTGGAGAACAAAGAGAGGAATGGTTCCCTCTAAGAGTTCATCAAAAGCAGAGACTGGTCTTGGGACTAAGGGCCTAAGAGACCAAAGCACTGAGGACTCAGAGCTCCTCTGACAATCTTCTAAAAGAACTCAATATCTAAAAAAGACCTGCTCCCTGACTTTTTTACACTACACATCATCTTTCAACTCCCCCGACACCTTTCCAACCATCTATTTGCTGTAAAGTCGTATGACCTAAGCTACGGAACACAGGCACCACATGGCCCTGGATGAGGTTAGCCCAGGAGAGAGGGCTCTGAGACCAGGTTTACTCTTTGTAATGCTTCCCTCCTCCAGCACCTTCTCTGATCACAAAAAACCACTGAGACTTTGCAGGAGACAGAGCTTTCAATCAATTTCGAGATTAAAATCTATATTCTAGGATTATCACAAAACTGTATAAACTTGATGCCTAAGCACCCAGGAGACACCAGGCAGGACTAACACAAAACTGTCAAGAAAGAAGAGAAATTTGGAGAAACCCCTACATACCCCTCCTTTGAACTGACACACCAGGGACTTTAACTTAATCTCACTGCATTCCTTTCTTACTCCAAGAAGGAGCCAGCAGGTCTCTTGAAGCAACGTGCACCAAATAACTGTGGTTGTCAAGCTTTCAAAAATCTCCAGGCTCAGGCCACACCCAAGTCCAATTCAATCATGATCTCTGGAGTGAGACCCAGGCATCAGCAGTTTTTTACACCAGTCCAGAAGACTTCAATGTGCTGGGAATCACTGGCCTAGAGCAGTGCTAATTTCCATTCATGGAAATTTGGACCAATAACAAAAGTTTCTGGGACTCCATTTCTAGGACTCTCCTGGTAAAAGGGGATGGGACTGAGGAGGGAAAGGGTAAAGATCATTATGTTAACATAAATTCCAAGGCCATCCAGCTCCACAAGTTAAGAACCCCTAAAACCCAAAGAGTGGAGCCACAGACACTTGTTGTTTTAATAACCATCATCATGGCAGCATAAAAACAACTCAAACCTCCTTTCCTCCATTCCGAGCACAAAAACTGATTTGCTTTATTATGATATCACCAAATACCTAGCAGAGTTTTTACCATAGGGGAGAAAAAACTTTGCCATTTGAAGAATATCTTTAATAATCTTAATGTTTTATCCTCAATGACAAACCTCTGAAGAGGGTTTCATGATGGGTGAAAAATGTGGAAAACACGGAGGTTAAATATACAGCCCAAAGCCTGGGCAACATAGCGAGACCCCCATCTCTACAAAAAAAAATTTAATTAGCTGGGTGTGGTGGTGTGTGCCTGAGGTCCCAGCTCCTCAGGAGGCTGAGGTGGGAGGATCTCTTGCATAGGCTATAGTGAGCAATAATCACACCACTGTACTTCCACGTGGGTGAGACAGTGAGACCCTGTCCCAAATATATATTACATATATGTGTGTGTGTATATATATGTGTGTGTATATATATATATAATAGTCCAAATCATAAGTAATGGAAACTGGATTAAAGTTTCTACAAAGGTATAATGTCAGTGGTGACAGTTACACAACTCTGTGCATATTTTGAAAACCAATAAATCATATGCTTTAAATGGGTAAACTGTATAGTACTTGAATTATATCTCAATAAAGTAATTAAATAAAAGGTATGTGATAATTCCTATCCTGTAGGGATTTGCGATCTGGTTGGAGAGATGAGAAATACAATGAATACGTACTGAAATGAAGCATATACAGAGTGACAAAGGTGTTCTAAGATAATTGGACTGGGATGATCAGGAAATACACACATCCATACCCGACGGCATGCGAACTCTCACACATACACCTTCGCAAATGGAACTCTTTGTAAGGCCTGGGAGAGTACTGCAGAGGTTAAGAGCAGAGACTGAAGACACATCGGCAAGGTTCAAATCAAGGCTGTAGCACTTACTTGTACAAGCGTGTTAACCTCCTCAACTCGGTTTTCTTACCTGTAAGTTGAAGTCAAAAACAGAAAGCGCCTGCTTCTTAGAATTAAGAAAATTAATTGAGTTACTATTTGTAAAGCACTTGGAAAACTACCTGGCATGCAATAAACAGTAGGTAAGGCAGTTCTCAAATAAAGTCTGGTTTACACTAAGACACCTAAGCCCCTCCTAAGTCATCTCCCACACCTCTCCCATATACTTTACTCTCCACCATCCTAAACTACCAGGCAGACATGGTAGACAGAGTGAGGCCACAGCTGCTGCAGCCAGACTGGCTGGATTTGAACCCCAGCTCCATAATTTCCTAATTATCAGATCTTTTTTTTTCTTCTTTTTTTTTTTTTTTTTGAGACAGAGTCTTGCTCTGACGCCCAGGCTAGAGTACAATGGCACGATGTCGGCTCACTGCAACCTTCGCCTCCCAGGTTGAAGCAAATTCCCCTACCTCAGCCTCCCAAGTAGCTGAGATTACAAGCATGCACCACCATGCTCGGCTAGTTGTTTTGTACTTTTAGTAGAGATGGGCCACATTGGCCAGGCTGGTCTCAAACTCCTGACCTGAGGTGATTCACCTGCCTCCCAAAGTGCTGGGATTCTCCATCTCCCCATTAAAACTACTTAGGGGAAGGTCATGAATAATTAGAGGAGATCAGGAAACTAACTGCTAGTTGTGGTTACATCTATCCAGAAAATATCAAATCTGCTTAAATATTCAAACAATTTGTCACAGTGAGTGTAGTGAGTGTTGGAATTCTCCTACAATTGCTGAGTCCCCAGAGTCTCAGTCCAATTTCCTAACACTCCATTGAGGTGAAGTTCTCTCCTATCCAGGCTCCTCAACTTTTAAGAGGGAATGTCAACCCTACCCCTATGGCTCCGTGTTCAGCCGGCAACATGGAATAGCTATGTTCCAGGGAAAAAGCAAGAAGCACGGGCTTTAACTCAGGCTGCCAACAGGATCAACTGATAAAGGTGATGCCCAAAGGCAGTTCAATGAGGGACATTCTTGGAATAAGTTAGACCAGCAGCTTCATTGAGGGACCTTTTAAGGCCACATTTACTATACTGCCATTGAGTTATAATAAAGGACATGATAAGAAATGGCCTTATGTAACCCACAGACATATATCTGTGGTCACAAGGTAGTTTCAAATGCAGTCCACTCACAGCATATAAAAGAAACTGTTCAGCCAGGCACGGTGGCTAACGCCTGTAATCCCTACACTTTGAGAGGCAAAGGCAGGCAGATCATGAGATCAAGAGATCCAAGACCATCCTGGCCAACATGATGCTGGCCTACTAAAAATATGAGAATTAGCTGGGCGTGGTGGCACGTGCCTGTAGTCCCATCTACTTGGGACTTGATTTTTATATATCTTGTTGGATTGCAAAGTAAGTATATATGATGTGAGCTATCAGATATGCCAGAAAGAGGTGAGTGCAAATGAAGACATAAACAAAAACACAAGCTCCCAAGTAGTAAAAATGAACATTTCATTTTCCCTGACTCATTACTTAGCTAAAAATCAACTGCCCTTGATATGTGATACTTCTACTATTATGTAGAAATACGACTAAAGAGTTCAACCAACTTCCATATCACTTATTTTACGTTTTTTGTTGTTGTTGTTGTTTGTTTTTGGGGGGTTTTTTTTGAGACAGCATCTCACTCTGTTGCCCAGACCAGAGTGCAGTGGCACGATCTCGGCTCACTGCAATCTCTGCCTCCTGGGTTCAAGCGATTCTTCTGCCTCAGCATCCTGAGTAACTGGGATTACAGGTGCCCACCATCATGCCTAGCTAACTTTTTTTGTATTTTTAGGAGAGACAAGGTTTCGCCACATTGGCCAGACTGGTCTCGAACTCCTGGACTCAACTGACCCGCCTGCTCCAGCCTCCCAAAGTGCTGGGATTACAGGCATGAGCCACAGCACCAGGTCACTTATTTTACTTAATATTACTCAAGTCTTATACTCTTATTTCTATGTACATGTCTCAATTTATGTTCCTCAATTACCTTATCTCCTAAAAAAGTAAAAGTATTTACATCACCTGCAGATATAAAACTAACAGTAAAGAATGGGTACCTAGCCCCACCTACTCTAGGGAATTAATTCATACCAAGACTTGTACCTTGGTTGCATGCAAATTTAATGCAAAGGAAAGGTCAAGGGCTATTGGGCTTGAAAGGGTTAAGGTAGCTTTCAAAATTGAATCCTAGTGATGCTCAGAGAAACTGCTGAAAAGTTATAGATACATATATACATACACACACACACCTGTGTGTTCATACGCACACATACATAAGTCCATGCACCCAGAGTACTTTCCTAAGGATGAAACTCAGAGTAATTACAGAAAAGAGAAAAGCCACTTAGGCCACAGAGACTAACAACATGAAGAAGCCTACAGATCTAGGGAGCCTGGAGAGACTTAAGTCATAGAACAGCATTTAAATATATTTGTCTGCTTACAATTTCCATTGCAAATGTGATTAGTTTGCTTGAATAAATAGGAATATGATGTGTTGGCCATGTTTTCCTCTTGAGGGTTATCACAGAGTTTTGATTAAGGACAAATGTTTGAAATGTTAGGTATATTTAAGTTCACTGCACTTAAAATGAGCTAAGAAGTTGTATAGGCTTGATTAGAGGGCTGCCTTCGTGAACTTAAATTAAAAGCAATAAATTCCAAATGATTCAAGTGATTGGGACTAAATATGGTATTCTGCCAGAGAAGTTGAAATGCAGTCCAAAGAGACTGAAATGGTGTCCAGGTTTCAAGAAATGGTGAAAGAGGAAAGGTCAAGTGTTGGAGTTGCCTTTCCTCTGGGTTAGTGAATGATTCACATTACACAGAATCTCTTTCAAGTACAACTTCACAGGAGTGACAGGCTCCCAGGACAATCTGTTTCATCGTTTCCAAAAAGAAGCCTCTCAAATGCTCCGAGGCGGGTATCTGTAAGTGTTGTCAGATGGAGAGAGGGAGGGGGAAGATGGGAATGATGGGAAAGCGGGGAGGGGGAGAGTCCCTGGACTTTTTATTCACAAAGGCGCAGGCCAAGTCTCCTAGGCAGTTTACAAAACGGAAGTCAAAGTGACTTCCCTACTGGCGGGAGGCGGAGCCCTTGAAACGTAATAGGATCAGGCTTTGGCCGGGCTGTGGCCCCTGAAAGAAGCCCGGGTCAACAACCAGCGGGGTCAGGAGCAGGAGAGCGCTGGGGAGGTCGAGGACCGCCAGTGCTTCCCTGCCCAGGGTGCACCAGGCCCCAGTCGCGCCCGCTCCTCTTCGTCGGCCCTGGCTCAGCCGCGTGAGACACCAACTCCCCTCCCGGGCCAAGTGGGAGTGTCCGGCCCGCAAAGTTTCCGCTGCGAGGTCGGACCTTGGTCTCCGCACCGGCCGCCTGTGCTACCCGGGAGGAGTGGCCCCCTTCCTCCCGCAGCTGCAAGGTGGAACGGCTGCCCGGCACCCCATTTTGCTCCGCCTGTGGCATCAACCCAGACACGTGAGCGCCCGAGCCTCTCACGCCCCCAGGCTGATCCGGCAGGCGCATTCCCCCCCGGCCTCGGGCCCATGGTTACCTTGGCGGCCGCCATGATTCGCCCTGGTTGCCGGTGACTGCGGGACCCACTCACTGGCTGACTGGCATTCGGGGCCCGGGCGGCTCCCTTCCAGTCCTGGCGGCGGCGGCGGCTGCGCGGGCGGCGATACGGCCCGGCAGCGTGCGCGCCTGGCCTGCCTCCCCACGCCCTCCCGCCGGCGCGGGTCATGCGGATGCTGCCCGCCCATTGGCTGGGCCCAGCCTTGGCCGCCGGGGTGCGCGTGATCCAGCGGCCTCTGCCCTGCGGCCGAGGAGGGCTCAGGGCCTGGGGCAGTGGCGGGACAGGGACACGTGACCCCCGCTGCGCTGTCCAGCAGCGGCGGCCTCTGCGGCGTGGGCAGAAGTACCTTGGCCGTGTGCAAGCCCGTCACCTGAGGGCAGGTGGCCCCACCGGGGAAGCTGCTGACTTCTGCTGATACCAGGGGCTACTGGGCCCTCGGACCGATGGGAGGGGCAAATAACGATAGATGGTGCACAACCTGGGGAAGTTGAGAACTCCACTAGGACACATGCTTTGCTGGATTTTTTTTCCGCTGTGCGTTCCCTTTGAAGGGGCTCCACTGGATCCAAAAAGACTTTGATCCAAAAGCATTGACTTGGAGAGATTGCAAACATTGCTGGCAGGCCTACTTTTAGATCAAAATCGGTAAACTCTTACGAACCCAACAGGTGAATGTAGTGCAGAACGTATATTTATGGGACTACTCCATTTCAGCCCTACCTGTTAAAACAGCAGAGGTCAAAAGGCCCGGGGTCAAGACTTCCCCCCAAATAGGCCCTACCAAAATAAGTAAACCAGCATTTTAATTGAAAATTTGCTGATCTGACCTCCAGACCTTATTCCTCTTCATCAGGATTTCAATCTTTCGTCCTGTAATCAAAATTTATAAGAAAGTGGTGATCAGGGAAAAGGACTTTTAATGTATTGTAGGTTGTGGATGTAATATGTCAGCAAAAAGCACTTATTACTAATCAGTTTAATTCATTAACATTGATCGAGTGCCTTCCTACTATGTGCTAGGTACTGTGCTTGGTGCTGGAAACCCCAAAATGACTTAAGAGCTGGTTCCAACCGTTAAAGAGCTTCAGGGCTATTAGGAAAGAGACACATAAATGTTTACTTCAGTATAACCTGTTAAGGCAGCAAACTATTCCCAGGGCTCAGTAAGAATACTGAGTACCCGGGAAGCTTCTAGAAGTGATGCCTGAGCTGAGTGCATGAAAGTGGCTGTGTCTGGTGGGGAGGAAAAAAGCAGTGTTCCACCCCGAGAAAATGAGGAGAGGCAGCAGACTCAGGAATTGCTGAGGAACCACAATTGGTCAGTCATGAAAGGTGTATTAATTGTCACGCTGCTATGAAGAAATGACTGAGACTGAGTAATTTATAAAGAAAACGAGATTTAATTGACTCACAGTTTCTCATGGTTTGGGAGGCCTCAGGAAACTTGCAGTCGTGGTGGAAGGTACCTCTTCACAGGGTCACAGGAGAGAGAATGAGTGCCAAGCAAAGGGGGGAAGCCCCTTGTAAAACCATCAGATCTCATAAGAACTCACTATCACAAGAACAGCATGGGAGTAACCGCCCCCATGATTCCGTTCTCTCTCACCGAGTCCTTCCCATGACATATGGGGATTATGGGAACTACAATTTAAGATGAGATTTGGGTAGTGACACGGCCAAACCATATCAAAAGGTAACTTGATCTTGGGCTATGGGACTGGTGCAGCGGCGGGACTGGTGAAAGGAGTCTGGCCCAGCAGGTAGGGGCTGTGTCATGGTGGGTTTTAGGTGCCTTGCTGAAGGGTAAGCACCTTCACTGAAGGGTTTTAAGTCAGGAAACAACACGGCTAGGTTTTCGATACAGAAATACCTCTCTATGGTGTGAATGTGCCCCCCAAAATTGATGTGTTGGATACAATCTCTAATGCATCAGTGTTGGAAGGCTGGGTCCTTGAGGAGGTATTTTCATCACAAGGGCTCTGCCATCATGAATGGATTAATGCTGCCATAAAAAGAGATTTGGGGAGTGGATTCACTCTCTCTTGCTCTTCTGTTCTTTTGCCATGTAAGAACACAGCATTCCTCACGTTTGAAGGACACAGCATTCAAAGAGCCATCTTGGAAGCAGAGAGACCAGGCCATAACCTGCCAGCACTTTGATCTTGGACTTCCTGGCGTCTAGAACTGTGAGAAATACATTTCCGTCCTGTTCTTCTAGTCTCAGGAATTCCCTTACAGCAACACAAAATGGACTAAAACACTCTGCTTGCAGTATGGAGGATGGGTTCCAACTGAACTACCAGGATATCCAGATGAGACAGACTCGGAATGGGCTAGGACTAGAGGAATACATAGAAGGTTTAAATTAGTGGGTCATCGTGACTGATTATATGTGGGGTTGGGAGGGAAAAAGGGAGTTGTGCCATATTGCACATAGACTTGTGGTATGGGGGTCTGGAAAAACACCTGAGATTGGTAATTCAAGACGAGTGTTTTGAGGTGTGTGAGTCTGTCTGTAAGGAAAGTGTATGTCCAACATACAAATTATATTGTAGAAGCCAAAGAAAGAAGCATTACAGAAAGAAGCAACTATTTAACCTACTCTCAAAAGGATCAACAAAGCCCAGAAGACTTGATCATGTTCACAGGCAGAGAAGAAAGATCAGCAAAAAGTAAAAAGAGACAAAAGGAAAACCAGGAGAATTGTTAGAGAAAATTATGACAAGGGGACAAGTCTGAAACTCCTGTGGAGGATGGTCCCAGCTGCTACAAGGGGAGTGTAAAAGGAGCTGAGAAAATACAACCTCATGTAAACAACAAAATTACATCATGTACCACATGTTTATTTTTAAGCGCATCACTAAAGCTCTCCTTTTATAATGTAAATGAAACAAAAAAATGTTTAATGTAATAAAATATACATAAAATGTACCACCTTGACCATTTTTAAATGTATAGTTTAGTAGTGAAATACATTCACATTGTTGTGCAGCCAGTCTCCAGAACTCTTTTCATCTTGCAGAACTGAAAGTCTGTACTCATTAACAACCACTCCATCTCCCAGACCCCTGAAGACCACCATTCTACTTTGCTCCTATAAATCTGACCACTCTAGGTACCTAATAAATGGAATCATATGGTATTTGTGTTTTGTAGCATTATGTCCTCAACCTTCATACATGCTATAGCATGTCAGTATTTCCTTCCTCTTCAAGGTTGAACAATATTCTGTTAATTTTTTTAATAGAAAAAGAATCATGCGTCCATTATACTTTTTCTTGATATTTTTGAAAATTCAGAAAATCATAGTAATGGCCAAAAAAATCACTGATAATCCTATAAATAGAGTTAGCCATTGTTAACATTCTACTGTATTTTTTCATGTCATGCTGTGTTTATGTGTGTGTATCAAGACATATTTATTTTACTTTATTTTTTGTTTTTTTACTTCTTGAGACAGGATCTCACTCTGTTGCCCAGGCTGGAGTGCAGTGGCATGATCTCAGCTCATTGCAACCTCCTCCTCTTGGGCTCAAAGGATCCTGTCACCTCAGCCTCCCAAGTAGTTGGAACCACAGGCACGTGCTGCCATACCCGTCTAAATTTGTATATTTTGATAAAGATGGGGTTTTGTCATGTTGCCCAGGCTGGTCTCAGACTCCTGGGCTCAAGCAATCCTCCTGTCTCAGCTTCCTGAAGTGCTGGGACTACACGCGTGAGTCATTGTGCCTGGCCTATATTTTTTATGTATTTATTTTTAAGACTGTTGCCCAGGTTGGAGTGCAGTAGCATGATCTCAACTCACTGCAGCCTTGATCTCTGGTGCTCAGTCGATCCTCCCATTTCAGCCTCCCAAGTAACTGGGACCACAGCACACACCACCATGCCCAGCTAATTTTTGTATCTTTTGGTAGAGATGGAGTTTTGCCAGATTGCTCAACCTGGTCTTCAACTACTGGACTCAAGAGATCCACCCACCTTGGCCTCCCAAAGTGCCGAAATTATAGACATGAACCACCCACCTGACCGTATTTTTGCATTTAAAACAATGAATTGTACTCTGTTAGTTTCCTGTGACTGCCATAACAAATTACTGCACACTTGGTAGCTTAAAACAATAGAAATTTGTTTTCTTACTATTATTAAGGCCAGATGTCCGAAGTGAGTCTTGTGGGGCTAAAATCGAGGTGTCAGCAGGGACTGTTCTCTCTCAGAGGCTTTAAAGGAGAATGTTTCTTTGTGTTGTCTAAGGGCTCATGGCACCCTTCTTCACCTTCAGAGCCAGTGGGCATAGCATCATATCTCTGACTCTGCTTTTATCACATGGCCTCTTCTGTCTGTCTGTAACCTCCCTCTACCTCCTCTTTATAAGGACATGTGTGATTGCATTTAGAGCCCACCTAGATAATCCAAAATACTCTCTTCACCTCCAGATCCTTAATTTAATAACATCTGCCAAGTCTGTGCCACATAAAGTACCATTCAAAATCTCTAGGGATTAGAATCAGGACATGGACATATTTGGGGGGCTATCATTCAGTCTACCAAACCTACCACACTATGGATACATATTGTAAAAGTGTATTTCAGTTTGCATTTGGAGTCATATTTAGTTGATTAAGCTCCCCTCTTCATTCTAGAATTCCTCAAAATATGAAATTTAAAAAATGTTAAACTATCATGAACCTAGAAATAAAGAAGTCAAAGAGGCTCCCTGGGTTCCATTTCACCTGTAAATAATAGCATGATGTGAAAAATCATCTAAGAAGATAAAGTATGAACTGGCTAGGCATCTTCCATTATTTCTTACCATTACAAGCTTACGTGCCCTCCTGATATTTGTCCCTCTTCACTATTCCCAGATTACCCTCTTTCCTACCATTAACAGTAGCTGGCACATAATTTTGACTGAAAAGGCCATGTTACAGATTAAACTGTGTCATCCAAAAGTCTTAACCCCCCAGTACCTATGTATTAGTTTGTTCTCATGCTACTAATAAAGACATACCCAAGACTGGGTAATTTATAAAAGAAAGAGGTTTAATTGATTCACAGTTCAGCATGGCTGGAGAGGCCTTAGGAAACTTACAGTCATGGCAGAAGGGAAAGCAAACATGTCCTTCATGTGCTGGCAGGAAGGGGAAGTGCTGAGCAAAGGGGAAAAGCCCCTTACGAAACCATCAGATCTCATGAGAACTCACTTATTGTCTCTCATTATCATGAGAACAGCAGCATGGGGGTAACCACCCCCATGATTCGGTTACCTCCCACCGGGTCCCTCCCACAACATGTGGGGATTATGGAAACTACAATTCAAAATGAGATTTGGGTGAGGACATAGCCAAACCATACCAGGCTCCAACTGTGACCTTATTTGGATATTAAAGTTGTAATTAGTTGATTTCATACTAGAATAGGGTAGGTCCTTAATCCAATATAAACTGGTGTTTTTGTAAGAACACACGGAGATACTCTGGGAGAGTCCCATGTGTTAACAAAGGCAGAGATTAGAGGGATGCAGCTGCAAGCCAAGGAATGCTGGGAATCAACAACCACCCCTAGAAGTTAGCAGGAGGCAAGAAAGGATGCTACCCAGAGTCTCAGAGGGATCGTGGCACTGCCGACAACTCAGTTTGTGACTTCTATCCTCCAAAACTGTTAGAGAATAAATTTCTGTTGTGTGAGGGCACCCAGTTTGTGGTACTCGGTTAAAACTGCCCTGGGAAACCAGTACAGGTCCCAAAGCCACCTGTGTTTTATAGCACCATATGCCAACCTTGTCAGCTGGGAAAGCAGCCAACTCAAATCATGAGGAATGCTATATGCAAACAAGGCACACAGCTTGAGCATGAGCCCAAGCCATGGGAGTTCAGAAGAGTGACTAACATGGCCTGCTCTGGGCTTTCACCTTTTCCAGAGTACCTGTGCCTTGTAGATGCCCTTTGACCATACTCTTAAGCTATCTTACTCTCTTCAACTTCATTTAAAACAAACAAGAAAACAAAGGCACCATTACTGCTACCAGTGTGCTCCCCAGATTAGATTGCTAGAAAGGATATCCAGCAACAATGCTTGCCAAACACATCATTGACCGGAAATTTTAGACAACTAACTACGGATTGCAATAATGATTCCTTGTGTGGAATGCAGTTTGCAAAGATAATGCCAGGGCTGGTAAAGGGCATGGTGTGACAGAGCGAAAGGAGCACCATGTGAATAAGAAGCTCCCAAATTCTGACCTTACAACTGAGACTCTGCAACTGAAGGACACAGAGAGGCTGTCTGTTGCATTCATTTGCGTCTGGAATTCTGCCGAGTGTCAGATCACACATGACAAGGATAGAGTAAAGGTAGATCAGAAATGAATATGACCTAACTTCTTAGTGGATCCAAAGGAGAGAGCTGTGCCAATATTTTAGAGTTAAGAGGGAAGGAAGGGGAGGTAGGAAGTGAGTCAGGACGAGGAAACATAAGACACCTTGGGAAAGTGTAACTAAAAACAAATCCCCAAAGCTTTGAGATAAAATGCTCTGAGAGCAAAGGCTTAAACAGCTAGTTCCTGAGAGCAGAGCAGGGCTGTGTTGCTTTCTGGAGGCTCAAGGAAAGAATCCCTTTCCCTCCCCTTTTCAGTTTCCAGAGTCTATCTACATTCCCTGGTTCTTCGCTCACTTTCTCCATCTTCCAAGCCAGCAGCAGAGAGTCTAGTTCTCATATCACATCACTCTGATCTCATTTTCTGCCTCCGTCTTCCACATCTAAGGATTCACATGATTGCATTGGGCTCACCCTGATAATCCAGGATAGCCTTGCAATGTTAGGGTCAGTTGATTTGTGTATTAGTTTGCTAGAGCTGCCAAGATAAAATACCAGAGACCAGATGGCTTAAACAATGAAAATTCACTGTCTCACATTTCTGGAGGCTAGAGTCTGAGGTCAAGTGTCAGCAGGTTTGCTTCCTCCTGAGGCCTCTCTTCTGGGCTTGCAGATGGCCATCTTCTCCCTGTGTCTTCTCTCTGTGCATATCTGGGTCCTAGTCTTTGCATATAAGGACGCCAGTCATATTGGATTAGGACCCATCTTAATGACCTCATTTTAACTTAATTACCTCTGTGAAAACTATCTCCAAATACAGTTACCTTTCAAAGTACTGAGGGGTTAGAACTTCAACATAGGAATTTTAGTAGGACACAATTCAACCCATAACAGTTAGCTTTAAATCTATCTGCTATCTGAATTCTCTTTTGCCATGTAGTATACTCATAGGTTCCAGGGATTGGAGCATGGACATGTTTGGGAAGCCATTATTTTGCCTTACACACCTTGACCTGAAAATGTTGCCAATGTCTGTAGCAAACCTTAGAGAAGTATTAGTTCTTTGAGTAGAATATTTGGTTTAACCACAGTTCTATATGAGCCCAGTAAAGTAAAACTGACTCCTCAGGGGAATTACATCAAAAGTCTTTAAAGAGGTCAAACCCAGTTTCTTTGGCCCAGAACAAGAATCCCCCTTGGTCTTGCATCAAGCCCAAGTCTGTGTTTATGAATCTGGCTAAGGTCCCTGGGCCCAGCAATACCACTCAAGGCAGTGACAAATCAAGCTTAGGCCACCCTGGTTTCTCAGTGTACTCAGAGGCGTATATCAGAACTGGCAGGTGCTTCAGCAGCCCAGCATGTGACCAGCAAGAAGGAGCAGCAGCCAGAGATTTACACAGTGAGCTCCTGGACCCTGGCCATCTCACAGCAAGGGACATTTCTTTTAAGTATAGCAGTTCCTTTTGTAAGAATTCCTGAAATTTTATCACAAGTCCTACAATATTTTAAGAAATTAAGTGCTAAGTAAAATAATCTTACCAAAACTGGTTTAAGGAAGGAGACCTGTGTTTTTATAAAAAACATTGTATTCAAATATTATTTCTCTCTTTTGTATTCTCCTTTACAACTAATCATGATGTTAAAAGAGAGAGAAAGGGAGAGAGAGAGAAAGAGAGAGAGAGAGAGAGAAAGAGAGAGACTGGCTCTTATTATTTCCCCATCAATCTCTGTCTGTCTGTCTAAATAACCTAAGCTAGCATGGTGAATTAGAAATCAGACAGATTTTTATTTGAGTAAATCTGCATAAGTAAAAGTGCATGAGTAAAGGTT